ACGGGGATTGTCAGAATCGGTTGTCAGGGCAGACTTTATCATACCGAGGGGAGACACGGTCGAGATCTCTGCAATGCTTGAAGCGATGCACAGAATTTTTAAATGATAATACCTACATAAGCATGCATGTAGTCCCTGAGCCCTAAATGACCTGGCTTGATCGTTACATAATAGTATTGGTTTACCACCATTCAATGTTACATCACAATGTTTTTCTCAGTTGAAACTTTGGATGGTGAAATGACTCAACATTAGTGTTAGATTAACTTACTAGTATTTCAATCCAAAAAGTTAACATAAATTTCCTGAAAGTTCCTGAAAGTAGCACATTTCATACCCTTCTCCCACATAGCCATCCAGAACATTTTAAAAAGGCAATGCAATTTTTGAGCAGAACAACTGGATTTTCAACAAGGTAAATCGTAGATTTCAAACCTCCGGGTTTTTTTGTGTTCTATTGGTTTAGGTTATTTGTTTGTGTGTAGTATGAAAGTTATGTGCGTAATATGTTTGTATGTGTTTGATGGCTACTGACGGTTGGTTCGGTATGGACTGTTGTCTCACAGTTTGACAGCCTGCGTCACCCGCGCCATTACCCGCGCCGTCATTGCTGCGCCGTCACCCAAAATTTTTATCGGAACCAGACACCCCTCTGTTTGACCCCTTTTAAATGCTAAGACCCAAAACTGCAACCTCCCCATTCCTTAACAACATGGTAAATTCCATTTTCAGCATGGCGGGGGTGTCCGGAGCACTTAAAAACCTTTTATTTCGACGCCCATAAACACATATACAATTAAACAAAAACGTTCTGCATCATCTGCAGCCCAACAGCAATACGCATACCGAACAACAGACCAATCCGTTCAGCCGATCGCGAGAAACAGCTGCTGACAGAAATGTTTCGAACCATAGTAAAACCTCCTCGCGGAAGGATATCTCCTTCCCCGGAGGTAAAAAGTGAATTTTCTGGTCATTGAAGTTGAATCAATCCTATCCCATAGCATACTGATATGTGTGAGGCAAAAATGTGATGTCGCTGGTGGAAAACGGTTGGCAATGCTTGTTTTGTATCCTGGACTGGTTCTAGTTATTTATGGGTGGTACCAAAAAAAATAAAGGGACTCCTCAGGTGGCTTGTTTTGGGATATTTCAAGTATGACATGATGACAAAAATGTGCATGGCAGTAAATGTCAATATCAGACAGATTTCCTCATTCAGAATATTTTTGGTCTCTGCCCTAAAATTGCTTCGGATACCTTTAAAGACAGACAGATCTACATTTTATCTACAGATCCGTTACCCATTCATATTAAGGATCTACTGCACCCTTACCTAACACCAGGGTTAGGAGACTCTGCCTCCAGTACGGCATGATAGGTTCCTCCACCGGGAACCAGGACTCTGTCCCTGTCTTGAGGGGTGCGACCGGTCAGAACTGGTTTCATGTTGCACTGGTTGTTGGAGGTGTAAGCTGCGAAAATACATGATTATACATTACACTTTACAGCATACATGCTCAACGGGTACTGGTATAATACAAGCATGGATACAAGTAATAATAAATTAAATACAATTGCTTTAACTAGCAAACAAAATCATCACAAAGCTGAAGAAAAAAGTGTTCTTGCAACATGTGATTTTAGAGCCCACGCCCAGTCTAGGGAAAATACGTAACTATCAATCCTTAGCCTGATGTCCAGTCTATCGCGGTTGGGGCGGGTTCTCTTCGGGGCTGCGAAAGCTCTTCCCCGCCCGACTCAGCTAGGTGACCCGGTAGGTTTTACACGACTATCGTGTTGGGGCTAATCAAGTCCCAGCGAGCAAAACTCTAACACTACAACCGGGCGGCCTTTTTAGCTGGACGGGGGAAAACTAGTATTTAAGCCCGAAAAAAAGCCTCAGCCACAACCAAGATAGACTGGATACCAGGCTAAACAAACCTATTTGCCTTTGAAAAAATATGAAAGAATCGCTTCAAATAGCGTTTTACCATCAACGAGGAACTGCAGTGGCACACGACTCAGCCCCGCCCCGACAGTGGTAGCGGCGCCTGGTGGATAGTCCTCTAGCGTTAAGGCCATGGCGTACCATCCCGGCCTCAGGCTGCCCATGGACGTCCTGTACGAGATCTCGCACTTGTCCTACGTATGTATACACAGGAGACCATACATATCTCACACCTTCACGCAGTATGTTCCCTGTAGTTGGCCTGTAGAACTACATGTAGCTATCCAGGTTCTCTTACTGTCGCCTCAAGTCAACGATGATAGATCATGATATGCACTACTCTACAGTTTTTGGTTATTGTGTATACAAATGTAACAAACGTTCTTTTTGTGTGGTTAGGATTTGGGCTAAAGTTACGATTACGCCAATGACAAACATATACACATGTAACAGTTAATATATACAGTTGACTGTAAAAAAAAAGATTAGTGCAGTTTAATGATGTCGATTTCCAGTCCCTGACAGAAAGAAACATTTGTGTGCTATTTTACCTTGAACGTTGTTTGACCCATTGAAGACTTCCTAGTCCTACGGCTTTCATTGAATACATCTTCTGCTAGATACTGGCACTATCAATGTGTTTCTTGTCAAATCAGCCTTACATCTTTCTTCCACTTATGACCTTTGCGATGTAGTAACGTTATGTCTTACCTCATCGAGAACAGAGAACGGGAGCGGATCACAAGCCTCCCCACACTCGCTGTAAACCGACGCGTACCGACACTTCACCACGTCTCCGTCCGGGTCTTCCCGCGGGATTCGGATCACGGTGTCACAGCTGATCTGTATCCTTCACAACGTGTTATAGAATGACAATCATGACTTTTACATGTATTAGTACAGGTCATGTATAAAGATTAAAAAATTACAGTTACTGTTACTGTAATAAAGGTAAAGATTACAGTAGTATCTTCCTTGAACATACTAATGTAAACTACTATTTACATTTACAGGTTCGACTTCTTGCATTTTTAGACAGTTGTAGATACATGTATATGAACATATGGAGCTAATGATAATTATGTAGATTGTAGATTGAAAAGCACAATTGCTAGAGTTTTTAATTTGTTGCAATTTTCACGGAAGGGGTAGGTTCTCTGAACATACAATTGATGAATGTGTCCTTGAACTAGTACGATTTATGCATTGAAGGTCCTCACCAGACTAGGCAACAGCGTGATACAAATAGACCGATCCCGAATCACAATGCATTAGAAGTTCAACCAATGAGAGAAGGGCAATTATCGGTTTGACCGATGAGAGAGCTGCTGCATGCACGTCCGTCAAATATTTGCATTTTTTAATGTTTTGGCGGAGGTAGGCGGGGCTTAAGGATCGGTCAATTGCAAGGTGTACCTGTATATAGCTGAGCTGGCTGAGATAGGGGAGGAGTTTGGGCGCCCGGTGTCAGGTCTGACTGACAAGTCAACATGAGCGACCAAATTCCAATCTGGATCGTGGGTTCCTCCGTTTGGATGTTGAACAGTGATCCAACAACAGCTGTCAAAGCTGAACGGGATGACAGGGAAAGGTTTAGATGGCGTTTGTTCCTCAACCAATTTATATTGCACTACTCTGAGAGTGATGTTATACGGTGGCGTACAGTGTATCAGGCCTTTGACTGAGATATATGTATTTGGCTCTGTTTGCATGGGGTATCAGAGTACATGTGTTATAATATACATCATGCAGATCCAAGTAAACCATCACAAACACGCGCGCACGCACGCACGCACGCACACACACACACACACACACACACGCACACACACAAAGACACACACGCACACACTATCTCTAGATCTCTCTAAATCCCTTTCTCTCTCTTTGTGGGCTCCCTTTGTTCAACGATTCAAAGGTTACAATGTGAATGTACAACATGTAACATTGATATATATATATATATAAAAAGACGATCGATATGAAATGCCCTCTTTCGTAAATAAACAGAATAAGGGACTATTGCATCACTCGGAACATTATCCAAGGCCCATGTTGATTTGATTATATGGATGACATCATCCGTACGTGAACCCCAAAACTGACGTGAGCGTGCGAATAAATAAAAGTTTGGCAAAAAAAAAAAGTTTCCTCATTATGAAATATACGTGGTCATAAAGGTTTAACAAATGACTAGTAAACACACACCGTATGGTATGACGAATAATAATAGATTCATTTTCATTTCTTCACATTTTCTTCTTTTTCTGAATCGATTTCGGCATTCTATGACATTAGTATCGTTTTTCCAATACTTTTTTTTGCAACGTACGACATATATTCGCTCATTTTGTGCTATTTATTACAGTATGGTCGAAAACTTTTTTTTGGGGGGGGGGGAACGGACGAAAATTCATGCGCGCGCGGATGTCATCCATATACTAGTATACATTAATTTTGTATTAATCAAATCAACATGAGACAGCACCTTATATCGGTGACCGTGTTTCCCTGCATGGAAACGTTCATGGAGTTGGACCCCTGTGACCAGTCCTCCTGCACACTGAAGTCAGTACAGTAGTATTGGGCGGGAAGAGAGCCTTCAGGGGTGTCCCAGTTACCACTGCCGATTAGGCGATTGGTGTTTATAGTGGTCTGGTCACAGTCACCACCCTCGCCGCTAGACCTCCTCCAACTCACACGAAAGTTGCACTGGATCTGGACAAGTCAAGATCATGTCAATTAGATGTCAACTAAAAGTTAAAATTTGGATACACCGCAAATAATTGTTCTCACCTAGAGCTTTCGACCAGTCAGTCTGGTCTTCTTCAGTATACTGACCCATTGAGACTTGACATGTGGCTTATTATAAGTGCGACGTCAACACTGGGTCAAAGGTATCTGGTAAACGATATCGGCCACCGTCGCGTTTTCATATTGATAGATATTCCTTTTTATGTGCCAGCGAAACGTATGAAACGTTTTCCACGTCTTTGAAACGTGAACAGAGACATTTTAGATAGGACGTAATACCATGCATGGCCACTTGGTTTTCTTCGACGAAACCATACTTTGAAAGCATAATGAAGCCCTACTACAAAATGTGTAATAAAGCTCCCACACTGTCAAACATATAGGAGAACTTTTCTACCATCAACTGTTGAACTTTGGAACAATCTTGCGGAGACAATTGCTACGATAAGGGACAAGCTGAAGTTTAAATGTGAAGTTAATTCTTTCCTCAGCGCAAATCTCTGACAGCGTTCTGTCTAGGCAGTCCGTCTGCTAATGCTGAGTGAGAGCAAACACAGATAAAAAGTGCTGTAGGAAGAAAAAGACAAGTTTGATAGAACACGAAACCTTTGATGAAATATGCAATCTTTAATAGAATATGGAAACTTTTTGTTGCTATGCGAGAGGGACTATTTTTCTTACCGTGTCCGGGTCGTTTGGAATCGGTTTCCAAGAGAAGGTCGCCCCGCGAAAATGAGAGCCTTCCACGGAGAGGGTCACGAGAAGAACCAAAAAGGCCAAGACGACACTGCGTCTCACCACCAGAGATGCCATTCTGCCTGTTTTAGGAGGAAAAACCGTCACAAGCCGACACTGCTAGATTTTGATGTTACATGCAAAACTTTTCCTAATAAAAGGAATCATATATATCAATTGTGTCGACAATTTAAAAGGATGTACTATAATTCAAGCAATCGACTGACAACAAACAGGACAAATCCTGAGTAATTTATAATATGTAATATCAGCAAAATTTCCATCGGACGCCTTATTGTTTTGTCCACTTCATGTTTACCTTTGATCATATTTGATTGTTGAAAACATGTCGCTTGTAGCCACTTCATAATCAGTTCTTTCGACTACATGAACCACGGGTAAGCCAACTTAGTCTCCACCAGACTTCTGAATAAATAGTACAAATCAGCCTGAAAGAGAATGTGACTGGCCAGGGTATTTAGCCAGCCAATATAGAGGGTCCAAATTTGACGTGCAGGCAAATTGGACCTTCTTTGGCCGCCAACTCCCCTGGCCAACTATATCCCCTTTTTAGGCCGGTTTCTAGTATTTATCCAGCCTGCAAAGAAGTCTGGTGGAAACTAAACCGAACTTGTGATGGTACAGAAGGGTTAGAAACATGTACAGATCACGTGACTCTGTCATGATTGATCGCCATTGTGATATGCCTCTCGATCTTTACCCGATGATGTCATAGCTAACACTGATATCTTTCAGTTCATCGATTAGACACAAGTACAGAGTTCTTTTCATGAGTCTGAATATCAAAGGGCAACTAACTTTGAACAGCACCTTTTTATGTTAGAAAATGCATTTTCCTTCATTAGACCACGGACCGTAACTTGTAGTCTCTACCAGGCTTCGGGAGGCGGTTGGAAAGAGTAGAAATTGGCCAAAATGAGAGATAACAGTACAGTTTGCCGCACCCGAAACTGTACTCTCTAGCGGACCAACTCTCCCGGCATGTTATCTCTCTATTTGGACAATTTCTACTCTTTGCAGCCGGCTCCCGACGCCTGGTAAAGGCTACGTACATGTGTAACTTCTCTTTTAAAAGCGTTTTTATAACTTAAACTTAGAAAAGCAATTAATGGTTTTCTACACACTGCACAAGTTCCTAAACATTTTGTCTCAGACCTTTTCAGACCATTGGCAAACAAAGTGTCACGAGAAAGTCCTTATCGACACTATATGTAACTATTAACACTTTTGCTAATGACGATTATGACAATTACAATCAATCGTCATTCAATCAACAATCATCAAGTCATCGGATAGTAAATTTGCAAATGAATACATAAAGAGAAACCGTAGAAACTTTTAAAAACGATGGTTACAATTTTAGAATCCGACGACGGTTTCTTCCGACAAATGCAACCTACAATCTCAAATACCGACGAGCAAGTATGAAATTTTCATGTTCCTTTCTTAATACAAGAACACCTACCTGGTTTATGACCGACGACAAGTCGCCCTGCTTATTTTTTGGTGTCTTATTTCCGGGTCTGATAGCAGCACAAATGTGGTGAACTTTGTATGTTACCGTTCGTTTAAAGGACCCAACACTTTCAAAATCGATATTTTTCACTATAATAGGAAAAAAAACAATGCCATGCGCATTATGCGCTTCAGTGAGAAATCCAGTAATAACATTTTAAACTGGGGAAAATTGGTAACAGTTGGCGAAGTTACAAAAAGGAGGACTTAAGAGACAGATAGATATTCGGCCTATTTTCGCGATTTTTCAAGGTGCACACGCACGTTGTACTTCAGTGAGAAGTTATATTTTAAAAGCTAATAACATGTACTTCCATAGTTGTTATTAGGAGGAGACGAATATTTTTCGTTTGTTTGTCGTTTTCGTATTTGCAATCGCAGGAATGTGTCGTCTTGTCTACAGTCGCCACAGTTACTAACAGACTTCGACCGCATGGTGCATGTACCCTGGACGCTTATTCAACAGGCGCCACACTTTAATTTGACAGCGACCACAACTGCAGCCAGTGCGATCACTGTGACATGTAAGGCTATTACGCTGAGTGCTACAGTCAACACACACGTGCTGAGTGAGCTGGACTTGCTTAGGAGACAGGAAGGAAAATCAGACACATAAGACGAACTTACTGAATGGTACAGGAGGGGGGGGGGAATTAAGACTGCATCTTTTAAGCGACTTATCCCCCTTCTAATAGACTTAAAGCATTGACGTTAATGGTAAAGCGTGCAAACTGTAACGTTACTGATTCTCTGAATATGCAGAAAATGAACGTGATATATTAAAACAGTCCCTTTGGAGCGGCGCCCTCTCGCGGGGGGTTTGCAAATTGTAGTTACCATGTATCTTGTTGACTTAAGTTCGTCGTCAAATAAGGTATTTACATTCGCCAGGAAGGCTCTTTTTTCGTGTCTTTCTAAACTACATGGTAGATATATGGGAAGTTTTTGCAGTACGTTTATTGCCATTCTCGTGGTGTTGGGAGGAGAAAATGCGGATTTCCTGACCTGGAGAATTTTGGGGAAGACAACAAAATGGCGAGATAGCCAGGAAGAAGTGCGTGGTTTGGAGATGACTTCGCTTTTTCGTACTGGTAAGCAAAATATTTGGCTGACGTTACTTCCTAGTATGAACATGTCAAATTCAACAATTTGTTTGTTTCGTAAAAATTGTGTATTTCTGGAATATTTGAGCGACCATTCCTGGGTTGAGACCGGCTTTGAAAGAATCAATTTGCCGCGTTTCTTCGCCGTTCATGGCGTAGGTTAAATGGATGTGTACAATGTAGGTCTCATTTGTCAGTCGAACAACGTTGTGAGTTCATATTTGTAAAAAGAAGCTATACGATAACAGAAACTTGTAATTGTTTTTCTCGGCGTGGTTCAAAGCACCTGTTGGAATGTGCACGTGTGCATAATTAAGTCCCTCTGATGTTCCCTCCCAAACCTCGCGTAAACAAGGCTGGAAACTCAAAAGGTTCAAATTGTCAAATTTGGTAAAGTGGTCAAATGCTATCAAGCGTTTTTTTCTATTTTTCTTTGATATAGGCTTGTTATATCATCTGCATTATCGACTCATTTGCATAATTTATGCAAGAAGGAAATGTTACAATAGATTTCTTTGCCCTGTCTCTATAGTTCACTCCTTATGTTTAAGTCTAAATTAAAATACTCAAAATAACTATATGCCTAACGTTAAAATTATAAATTCTGTGCAGTTGCTCCATTTATTAAGCAGCTCTGTCCACACGTTAACTTTTGTTTGATAATGGCTGTATCTCTCTTAAGCTTGCCAAACTGATAAGGAAATTACTTCTAACTGTGGCAAAAGACAACTTGTATATCTTCATGTGTGCAGATGGCGTTTAAGTAACAAGTATACGCCTGTTTCCCCGTGTGTGGATATGGCGTTCAGCACCAAGGACAGGATTAGTTGCCTGTATTATATTCTGGTCAACCAATGAGAGGGTGTCAATTTTCGGTTCGACCAATGAGAGAGTTGCTACCAAAGTCTATCATATATTTGCATTTTCATGTTTCTATTTCAACTTTTTGCGCCTGTGGGCCAGGTTATCGGTTCAGTCTATAATACGGACTAAGTATAAGTGATTTCAAAGCAAGATTTAGCTTCAATACCAACACTTGTAGTCGATATGGACGTTATGCTTGACAGACAAGTCCGAAAAATATAGCTACTTCTGATTGGTTCTCTTTTCGCTGAATTAATGAAGGTCGATCTGGATTGGATGAGGAAGTTAATTGAATTGTGGCCGTTCTGTACCACACCTGTGTGTAATTGCACACATGTGCAGACACGTGACACCGGCCCGTCGTTCGACCTCGTGTGGCGAGTGCTGTTTGTGTGCTAGTTGTTTGCTAGTTTTGGGGTAAATTTTCGTGCTTTGTCGTTTTTGGTTTGGAAAATAGCTATCGAAAGGTGTAAAGTAGATGTTTTGGGATGTTTTCTGTGGTGTATATATGCCGTTCTTTGGGATGTTTCCGAAGGGGAGAAAATGCGCATTTCCTGACCCGGCGAGGTTTGAACAAGAAAAGGAACATGGCGACTGTCGGGCCAAGGGAAGAGCGGCGTGGTGTTGAAAAGATTCGTTTTTACAAGGTAAGGCAGCAAGACTGTCTCATTAGATTTATTCCCAACAAGCCTATAACTACCAAGTAGTATATTCTGAGTAAACGCGTGTTGTTCTACAAGATTGTCTCCCAGTTTTAAAACGACTTGTTCTTTGCCATTTTCTTTCACTTTTTGCTTTCGCTTTTGAATGTTTTGCCCCTGATTAATGTTTGGGAGAACACTGAATGTATTTCCTCCGTGTCAACTGACGCTGATGCAAAGCTATGGACCATTTTTGGTACAGAAACGACTTATTTAAATATGTTTTGTTTTGTTTGAAATCTTCGCTGGCGTGGTGAGTTTGGCGATGCCACTTTGTATTGAGATGTGCCGCCCCTGGACATAATTAGATTCCATCTATTTTCCCGCCAAAAAGTTGTGTAAACAAGGCTTCCTCAAAGCTTCAACGGGTAAAAAATTTGGATTTCACATAACATGATATAGAATTATTTTAAAACGGTTTAGTATTGACACCAAAAAATTCAGTTTTTCAGGGCCAGAAATACTGTTTTTGTCATACATGTAATGTTACATGCATTCAAAATGACCTGCAACACTAATTTTACATGTAAAGTTACATGCATGTAACGTTACTACTCACTTTACTTTTAATACTCCAATTACATTGTACTACATTTTGTACATGTACAACAATATTCTTACAGAAATGGCCAAATGTGGGTCGATCATTAGTCAAATGGTTTTATCCCACTTTTGTCCTTAGATGAAAATGCTTCCAGACAAATAACGCTACTTCTAAATCTATTTTCTTTCTAAATCTTAATTTTTTTTCAAATTTTTTTACATTGCTCACAGAGCTATATTGGTGTTGAGAAGCATAAAGAATGGATAGACCACACTGACTCCAATATATAATATATATGATATCAGTGCATACATCTAATCTGTTTAAAAA